CTCAAATAAATAAAATCTTTTTAAAAAAATCGTTTAAGGCCTCTGTCCAGAAACTTTAATAAGCTAAAATTCATATTCCAAGGCATTAACTCTAACTACCCTAATTCCACAGCTCTAGGATAGGACCCAGGTATCTACATTTGTAACAAGCCCTTCAAGTAATTCTAATGCAAGCTATCCCTAAAACATCCTTTGTGAAACTATGGTAAGGATTTCTAGAACAATCTTGTGACAAGAATGTTGCTTCTGGGGAAAACAAGTAACTTTTTCTACTGGGGTTGTTACATCTTCCTGTGATATGCCTCCAGAGCATTCATGGTCAATTACCTTAACATATATTTAGCACAGTATTAATAGTTCAAGAGTAAATCATAGTTTTTCCCCGTCTTACCTTTATATAAATTAAAATAAACTATACAATGTAGTTATTATTTCTTGGCAAAGGCCAATAGTTTAAGTAAGGAACTTACATCACTCGGTTGTTGTGACAGAAAACTGATGTGATGGTTTTCCAGTCACAGTCTTAGTTTATCTTTTTCCTCATCTTGTCATGCATACCCACCCTTGCATCCTCCTGTCCAACTAATGGTCAGAGAAGACACAGAAAGAATGTGAAATGGTTGCATTCCTGATAAGTCTCTGAGGACAAAGTTTATCTTTTCATATTTACATAACTTACCTTACCAAACACACAAATCATTGTCAGTTTAAATGATAGGAGATCGATTTTCCATGTGAGACTAGCATTTCTCAGCCCTCACAACATTACCTGAAGGAAATATCTGAATTCAACTGATGTAGCTTGCGAATTTTCCTACCAAATATCCCTGCTGCTATGAGGATCAACTGAAAAAACAAATGTGAAAGGGCAAAGCCTACTCAAAGATGATTCTTAATTATTAAAAGGAGTATAGCAAGTGATACCTGAGAAAATGGTGCAGAAAAAAAAAAAACCAACCTTAAAAAATTCTCTGCTCCATGAAAACAGAAAAAAACTGGCAAAAATAGTCAGAAACAATATTTTCAGAACACTAGAAATTAAACAAAGGCTTACAGTAACTAGGAGAACATTTATTCAAGAGAAATGACTGAATCTTAGTATGAACAGTGAGCTTTGTGGTGTTTTAGCTGCTCTGTTCCCAACCTACCCCTCCTTCTTGATGGCAGCCTTGGAAATCAACAGCCAGAGATCATGGTGAAAATTAGCAGTCTGGCAGCCATAGGAGGGGGCAGAACAGGGTTAGAGTTCATTCAAAGTCTCATTCCCAGAGAACTGTCATTATTTGACTTGTTTGGGGGTTCCTTGGAACACTCTGCTTATACGTCTGTCTTTATTAGACCTATTCACACCTAGCACAGCATGAAAAACCTTTTCCTCAGGGGCATTTGTAGAAATTACTAGAGGCAATTGTTTAACTTCTTGGCTGCCCGAGGCACCGGATAACAGCTGGGGCAAAAATAGGCTAATTGAAAGTTTAAAAGGAAAAGCTTGGGAATGAGATGTCCATAGTGGCTTTGAAAAGCTCCCAAATATTCCTGAGAATCTAGAAGACCATATACAAATGCCCAAGTCTGTGTGCATGTTCAGGACAAATCTGTGAAGGCCTTATGCTCTCATCTCTGGTGGGGAGATATCTCGGGGCTCTGCACAAACAGAAAGTGAAGGCTAAGGTGGAATTGTCACCTGCTTGGCTGTGTGTTGAAGGTGTGTTGAAAGTACACCCCAATATCCACACAGAGCTCCTGGCAAAGACTGTAAAAATTATTAAACAAACAAACAAACAATAACAAAACAACAAATAATACCAACAAAAACCACTGGAGTTGGAGGAGACTCTGATTTCTAAAATCACCACATTATGTTATTAAATGTCCAGTTTTCAACAGAAACATTGTAAGCCATGTAAAGAAACAAGAAAGCATGACCCATACATAGAAAAAAGAAAAAAAAAATCAAGAGAAACTGTCCCTGAAGCCAAGATAATTAGACTTCTTAGACCAAGACTTTAAAATCAACTATTAAAAAACTGTTCAAAGAATTAAAAGAAACCATAAAAAAGGAACTAAAGGAAAGCATCAGAACATGCTCTCATCAAATTGAGAAAATAGAAAATGTATTTGGAAGGGCCAGTAGAAATTCTGGGTTGAAAAGTATAATAAACTAGAGTGGCTCAAAGGCAAATTTGAGCAGGCACAAGAGAGGAAACTTAGATATAGGTCAATTGAAACTAACCAGTTTGAGGAAGAGAAAGAAAAAGAATGAACAAGAATTTGCGGAGCCATAAAGACCTGTAGGACTCCATCGAGCATACCAACATACACAGAATGGGAATTCCAGAAGAAGACAGAAACAAAGGGGCTGAAAGAATACTTAAATCAATGGCTGAAGACTTCCTAAATTTGATGAAGAACACTAATCTCCACATCCAAATGATCTATTTACAAACTCCAACAAATATAAATTCAAAGAGGTCTACACCTAGACATATCAGTCAAACTGTCAAAACATAAAGAATCTGAAAGCAACAAGAGAAAAGCAATTTGTCACATGCAAGACAGTTTTTAAAAATTTTATCTCTGATTTTTACATATATATATATCTGATCTATCTATCTATATCTATCTATCTATCTATCTACCTATCTATCTATCTATCTATCTATCTATCTATTTTTTTAGAAAGAGAGTGTGTATACACATGCTGGGGGGAGGGGCAGAGGGGAGAGAGAATCCCAAGCAGGCTCCACGCCCAGCACAGAGCCCACTGTGGGATTGATCTCACAACCCTGAGATCATGACCTGAGAGGAAATCAAGAGTCAGACACTTAACCGACTGAGCCACCCAGGTACTCCAGGACATTTTCAATAAGATTAATAGTTAATTTCTTATCAGAAACTATGGAGGCCACAAAACAGTACATGACATATTCAAAATGCTTAAAGAAAATGACTGGCAACCAAGAATTCTATATCTATGGCCAGTTGATTTTCAACAAGGGTGCTGTCTTAGTTCAGGCTGCTGTAACAAAGTACCACAGACTGGGCAGCTTATATACGACAGAAATTTATTTCTCACAGTTCTGGAGGCTTGGAAGTCTGAGATCACAGTGCCAGCATGGTTGAGTTCTGGTGAAGAGCCTCTTCTGGGCTGCTGCAGATTGATGACTTCTCATTATATCCTCACATAGCAGAGAGTAGACAGAGGAAGCAAGTTCTCTCATGGCACTTATCAGGGCATTAATCCTATTCATGATGGCTCAACTCTTATAATTTCATCTACTCCTAATTACCTCCCAAAGTCTTCACTTTCTCATACCATTGGGTAAAGTTCTAACATGAATTTTAGGGGAACACAAACATTGTTATGGCACTGAGTCCCTAACAAGTGCCAAGACCATTCAGTGGAGAATAGAATAGTCTTTTTAACAAATGGTGCAGGAACAACAGGCTATATATACACAGGTGGAAAAATAAACTTAGATCCCTAATTCACACCTTATACAAAAATTAACTCAAAATGGGTCAAAGAGTTAAAACTAAATTTTTAGAAGGGAGCACAGGTGTAAATCTTGGATTAGGCAATGGTTTCTTAGATATGACACCAAAACACAAGCAACTAAAGAAAAAATAGATAAATTAGACTTCATCAAAATTAAAAACTTTTGTGCTTCAAAAGACATCATCAAGGAAATGAAAAGACAGTCCACAGAATGGGAAAAAATACTTGTAAATCATATATTTTATAAGAATCTAGTACCCAGAATATATAAATAATTTTTACAACCATAAGAAGGCAAATAACCTAATTAAAAAATAAGTAAAGAAGTTGTATAGACATCTCTTCAAAGGAAATACACAAATGGCCAATAAGCACATGAAAAGATGCTCAATATCACTAGCATTAGGGAAATGCAAATCAAAAGCACAATGAGCTACCATTTCACACCTACTGGGGTGGGAAGAAGAAGGAGGAGGAGGAGGAGGAGGAAGAGGAGGAGACAACAATCACAAGTGTCGGGGAGGGGAGAAGACGGGATACTTATACACTGCCAGTGCGAACAAGAAATGGTGCTAGTACTTTAGAAAATAATTGGGAAGTTCCTCAGAAAATTAACATAGGTTTACCATTTGGCCCAGCAATTATTTATATACATACATATTTTTTCAGAGGTTCACACAAAAACTTGTACACAAGTTCCCATAGTAGCATTATTCACAATACCCCCCAAATGGAAACCACCCAAATCTCCAACAACTTATGAATGGATAAACAAAAATGCTATATCCGTACAATGCACTATATTTTGGCCATGGAAAGGAATGAATTACTGAGACATGCCACAACATGGATGAACACTGAAAAAATTATGCCGAGTGAAAGAAACTAGACAAAGTGCCATATTTTATATGATTCCATTTTTATAAAATGTCCAGAATAAGAAAATCCATACAGATAGAAAGTAGATTAGTGGTTGCCAGGGGCAGAGGGGAGGAGGGAGAAGATGGGGAATGACTGCTAATGGGTACTGGATTTTTTTGTTGGGGAGGGTGATGAAAATGTTCTGGTGATGGCTGCACAACCTTGTAACTAGACTAACACCCATGGAATTGCACACTTTAAGAGAGTGCATTTTATGGCACGTTAACTATATCTCAGCTTTGAAAAAAGCAGTACAGCTTCTGAAAGTAGTATTGGCCACTTAAATCCCCACTAACATAATCTTGGGTGGCTTTTGGGGTGGGATTTGGGGTTCAGAAAGTTGATCTTGGCATTTAGGTATGTGGGGGAAAACATTTGAAAGGGACACATCCACACACAACCACAAAAAAACCCCAACACAACTTAAAGCAAGCACAGGTGCTTCCAGGTACCATGAAAATGGGGTCCACAATTATTTTCCTGGCAAACCATTTCCTTTAACAATATCCCCAATGTGCATACCCACCACAAATTTGGAATCAGTATAACTCTCCGGACTAAAGTTAGCAAGTAACCTTACCTTTGATATTGTTTTGTTGTTCCAGCAGTAATTTATTTATTTCTGAACACCAACAATCTCTGATTTCTTTTGAAGCTGCCTGCAAGTTGCAGATAAGAAGATACTATGAGCATCAGAGCACCTGGAGCATTAACTGGACAGGGTTTTTATTCTCTGGGTGACCTCTAGAATAATGAGATGGAAAACACTTGCCAAGTCATGGGAACACAGGAAAGAGTAGCAGACACCCATGGGGAAGACGTGAGCTTTACCTGCAGGATGTATTTCTCAAGTCCATTTCGGTTGGCAATTTCAAACTTTCGGCTGCTCCCCCTTCCAAGATGGCGAATTGAAAGTGTCATCAACTATTGTAAAGAAAGAAGAAAAATTGCTGTACTACCATTTTCTGATTTTAAAATTGTCCCTGTCAGCCACTCTGGTTCTTTCTACCCTTGATAGGTCTTTTCTTCCATCTTCTTTCCGTGTATTTTGTTGTCCTCTGTTAATGGTCCCAGGGAGCATAAAGTACAAGCACAGTGTGGCACAGTGTCATCTGTCCTTTCTCTTTCAGGGGACAACACAGACTGCATCTTTCCATATGTAGGGCTGGAGCCCTCAACCTTTAAACAAAGAGATCATCTCCCCTTTAACACCTAACTATTTCACAAATCTGTACATAATAGTAACTGAATTAGTATCCATTAAGAAACATAAATAACAAAAGCTACCATAAATAATTAACAACTCTAATCACAAGAGCACAAATGTGTGTGTATGTGTGTGCATGTATGCACACGTGTGCAGTATGTGTGTGTGGTGGTGTGGGGGTGGTCTTATCACCACCTATGAAATAATTCCTACACAGACTAGAGATGATGTTTGGTGTGGACATGGGTTTCTAGACCTCCAGAGTCTTTGCCAATGCTAGTATGCAAAGATGTGTGGTTGAGAAGGACAAGTAGGAGATGAAATCCAGCCCATGCGCTAATCACCAAATCTTTCACCCCTCTGCCTGCAGGGTACTTTCCTAATTCATTTGTCAGGACAGCTGCCATATGGTCCCTGTTCTCTACCTAGCACAAAGGCACCTCTATGCCGGCCCTGGCCCGGTCCAGTGACTGATTACAAGCTGACTTTGGAGTTAGAAAGGCCTGGGTACAGAGTCTAGTTCTGTTGTGTGGCATTTGGCAAGTTAACCTCTCCTCTCTAAGCTTCAGTTTCCTTCTCTGTAAAATAAGGATAATGATTTTTCTCTCCCTAGGGCTATGCTGCTTCTCAAGTGCAACAGGAACCTTTACCTTCATAGATTTCTTAAATCTGTAATGAGGAGCAAGGCCCTGGTCACTGGGTTCCATTCGAATCTTACAGAACACGATTCCCCTTTCAAATAGATAGATTTGCCTCCGGCTGGGCTTAAATCGGATAAAATCCTTCATTTTATAACGATCCTTGTGAACTGTCCAGACGTTGAAAGAGCCATGCATCAACAGCTTGCCCAGTTTCCTGATATCGTCCTTTGGGGAAGATAGACATACATAAAAAGAAGCTGTTACATTACTTGACAGGGAAAGAACTCTTAAGGGTCTGTTTTCAAATTACAAAGTATACTTATTTGAAGTTGACGATTTAAAAAGTGCCAAACAGGCTCATCTGTCACTAAATCAAAACTATAATTTTGTGAGCTTCACTGAGCATGAAACCATTCAGTTATATAGGTCTGCACAAGGTAATAAACACAAAGCATGTTAGAAATACTTGAACTAAAAATACTGGTACTCTGATATTTTTGTCTTTGTAATTAATTTTAGCTAGCAGAATTCTATTTCCTCTTCTTGGTTTTTGATACATGACAGTCTAGAAGGGCAAAAAATTAACATTTAGGTATGTTCAGGAGAGACAGAATTTTTGCTGCATTATGGACCTAATTCCATAATCATCCGTGAGCTCCTTCTGCATCCCAACATCTGCTTCGGTTCTCATGAGAACATGAGATTTGTTCTGCAAGCAAAAAAGCTTCATATAACCTAATCTTCATAATGTTGTAATGAAAATAACAATGACATTCAACTTTGCATTTCTCAGAGTAAGTGGACAGGGTAAAGATAATCCCAAATGACAAAATTTTTCAGAAAGTCTACTTGGCTTCAGGGCACATTTTATGCCTATCCCTCCACCAGCAAACCCATCTTTCTCATGTCTGGTTAAAAGTCCAAATGAGTGACCCTGCCTTCTCTGAGCTCTCTCCAAAGGGTAATGGGGTGAGATGAGCTAAGAACGTTGTATTTTATCTGGTATTTTTTAAAAATTAGATCACTTGAAGCAGATAATCAAGAATTTATTTCCCTAAAGGAAAAGGCCAAAAGGAGAAATTTATTTGAACAGGACCAGGACAGAGAAATTTCTCTGAGTTATGTCTAGCTGAAATAAATCCCTACAATTTCTGAGTTAATACTAGAAATATATACATTATTTATAACTGGGCATTTTAATAACTTATTGCTTATATCGAACAAACAGAATATTGTTAAAAAATAATTCATTGTACTTCTGAAATTCTAAAATAAAAATTTCAAGAGCATAAACTCTACTCATTTCTATGGTGCTTGTGGCATATTTTCTGTGCTATTTTTCTCTTTATGCTTTGTAAAATTTATATGTGTAAACTGGTGAATGAACCTCTCAGTGAGGAATAAAGAGCCCCCAGCCATAAAGACTGCTCTCCGAAAAGCATGATACTCCTGCTTTAGTTGCACAGGCTCAGCTTGACCATGCTCTGAGACAGATGGGTGATGGGTTCATGAGGACCCTTGAGAAGTTCTTCACTTTATCCACATCCTTCCCGGAGCTACTCCAGCTCTCAGTGATTGCATTCCCTTTTAAACCCATTCCATTTCTACTATATAGACATAAATAATGCAGGAAATTTGTTTTCATCAAGGCGACTGGCAAAAGTTGTTGCTTAATGTTTGCCACATAAACTACAATCAGTAGTTTCTATTTTATCTTTTAAAGATTTATTTATTTGAGAGAGAGAGAGAATGAATGGGAGGGACAGAGGGAGAGAGAATTTCAAGCAGACTCTGCTCTGAGCACAGAGCACAATGTGGGGCTTGATCCCATGACACTTAGATCATGACCTGAGCCAAAACCGAGAGTCCAAAGCTTCACCGACTGCATAGTTTTTATTTTAAAATGTACTTATACTCCACCTCATTTCAAAAATTTAATCTGTCTTATAAAAATATATACATTATAGGCAAACAGAAAATAACCAATGTACTTAGGGTGAAAAAAGATTAAAAAAAATAAGATGAAGAGGTTGTACATATAATAAAGCTATGTAAACCTACTGCAGAGTACGCTAGGACCTTCTATTGGGCACTACAGAGGGAAACACAGGGAGTCGTATGATACATTATGTTCAAAGACATACCTAAACCAGTTGTTCAGAAAATGTACAGCAATTCTTATTAATGGGACATGAGAGAAATTTCTCCCATGGGTCCTTGTCCTCATAAAGAGTCACTGAGTCAAATACTGAGCCTGTCCTTAGCCACATCCAAGAATAGCTAAACAAATGGATTTTAGCTAAAGCTGTTCCTGACAACACATTTGGTGAACGTGGAGGCATCACTTCAAAGCACAGCTGTTAAAAGCAATTCTAAAAGAAGCCAGAATAGAGAACCCAGAAATGGACCTTCACCTCTGTGGTCAACTAATCTTTGACAAGGCAGGAAAGAATATCCAATGGGAAAAAGACAGACTCTTCAACAAATGGTGTTGGGAAAATTGGACAGCCACTTGCAGAAGAATGAAACTGGACCATTTCCTTACACCATACAAAAAATAGACTCAAAATGGATGAAAGACCTAAATGTGAGACAGTAATCCATCAAAATCCTTGAGGAGAACACAGGCAGCAAACTCTGTGACTTCTTGCAAGATACATCTCCAAAGCCAAGGGAAACAAAGGCAAAAATAAACTATTGGGACTCCATCAAGTTAAAAAACTTTTGCACAGCAAAGGAAATAGTCGAGAAAACCAAAAGACAACCTACAGAAGGGAGAAGATATTTGCAAATGACGCATCAGATAAAGGGCTAGTATCCAAAATCTATAAAGAACTTATCAAACTCCACACCTAAAGAACAAAGAATCCAGTCAAGAAACAGGCAGAAGACATGAATAGACATTTCTCCAAAGAAGACATACAAATGGCCTACAGACACATGAAAAAATGTTCAACATCACTTCTCATCAGGAAAATACAAATCAAAACAACAATGAGATACCACCTCACATTAGTCAGAATGGCTAAAATTAACAAGTCAGGAAACGACAGATGTTGGCGAGGATACGGAGAAAGGGGAACCCTCCTACACTGTTGGTGGGAATGCAAGCTAGTGCAGCCACTCTGGAAAATAGAATGGAGGGTCCTCAAGAAGTTGAAAATAGAGCTACCCTATGACCCAGCAATTGCACTACTAGGTATTTACCCCAAAGATATAAATGTAGTCACCTGAAGGGCACCTGCACCCCAATGTTTATAGCAGCAATGTCCACAATAGCCAAACTACGGAAAAAGCCCAGAGGTCCAACGACAGATGAATGGATAAAGAAGATGTGGCAATGGAATATTACTCATCCATCAAAAAAAGAAAAAAAAGAAATCTTGCTATTTGCAATGATGTGGGTGGAACTAGAGGGTATTATGCTAAGTGAAATAAGTCAGTCAGAGAAAGACAATTATCATATGATCTCACTCATATGTGAAAGTTAAGAAACAAAACAGAGGATCATAGGGGAAGGGAGGGAAAAATAAAACAAGATGAAAGCAGAGAGGGAGACAAACCACAAAAGACTCTTAACCATAGGAAACAAACTGAGGATTGCTGGAGGGGAGGAGTGTGGGGGGATGTAGTAACTGGGTGATAGACATTTGGGAGGGCATGTGATGTAATGAGCACTGGGTGTTATATAAGACTGATGAATCACTGAACTCTACCTCTGAAACTAAAAATACATTTTATGTTAATTAATTGAATTTAAATTTAAAAAATAGGGGACTGCCTAAATAAATAAATAGAATTAAAAATAAAATTAGTGGAGACATAAAATATAGGCATATCATTACATTTTATTAATAAAGGTTTTCTAAAAATAAAAATAAATAAAAGAAGCCAGAATGATGGGGGAGTGGGGAACAAGTCCCAGTGTGCACTCTCTAATGACCCGTAGAGGGCTGGGTGAGGTTAGTTAAGGTGTCTGCCAAGGCTACAGAGGAAACTGCCCTGTCTATAGCCCTGCTGAAGAGGCAACCTTAGGCAGTGATGTTGCCTTTCACCCCTCGGCTCTCTCCTCCTCATCCCTCCAACAGCCATAGCTGTTTGCACCTCAGTAGGCAATTGGCCAATGGATACGAATCCAGAGAGGGGCCAGTCTCTCACCATAGAGGCCAATCTGATCCCTGTCTGAACTGCGGCTGTAGGCAGTAGGAGTTGTAGCTGTGAGATGCTTTATAAGAGGGCAGGAGGTGGAATAAACAATAAGGTAGCCAAGCAATAAAGAAAGTGAGTCACCAGAAAAGCAGAACCTATGAGGAAGAGGGAAAGACACCAATGGAGGGAAAGAACCAGACAGCAGGTGGTAAGAGAAGATAGCAGGTGTGTGGATGTACCTGGCACATACAGGCAGAACACACAGGTAAGAACCCCCACTTTCTCCCAAGCCAAGGCCCCAGAACTCCTATAGGTCCTGGAATTGTCCCATTCCCACCTCCATGAGCCTGGCTCTGTCATTTTGCTGTCTCTTCCCAAGGCTCTATGGTCACCTATTCCAGTAAGCCTATCATTTCTGAAGGTCACTGGAAGGAATTGCTGGGTCTTTTGAGTCCAGCTGCAACAGAAGGGTTGCATGTGATGGGACTGGACATCTCAAGACTCAAGGCCCACCTTGCAGTGGCTGAGGGTGTGTGCTCTATGCAGTGCTGATGAAGGGTAGGTGCATGCATACAGCAGCCAGGATGCATGCCTGCCTGGAGGCAACCCCACCTCCCAAGGGAAAGGGCAGGGGGAGTTCCTCTGAGCACGACCAAAGATACCTTTGGTCATCTTTTCAACCATATGTATCCTTTCTTTCCAATAAGACTGCAGTTGGTCCCAAGGCCAGAGACCATGTACATGACTCTTGCAGATATATGTCCCCTAGACACGTAGTATTTATTCATTTACTGGCATGAGTGCCTGGGAGGACATGAGTCTAAATGCTCAGCACCGTGAGGAAACTAATTCAGTAATGCCCCAGTACTAGGTTGAACAGTGTCTCCCAAAAAACTCATGTCCACCTGGGAACTCAGAATGTGATCTTATCTGGAAATACGGTCTTTGCAGATGTAATGAGCTAAAATGAAGTCCTACTGGATTAGGGTGGGTCCGAATCCATGACTGGTGTCCTCATGAGAAGAGAAAACAGAGACACAGACACATACATAGAGAAGCCAGTCATGAAGACAGGC